GGTTGATCCAAGCAAGGGTCCCCTTTGCTATCACCGAAGCAATCCACCCACGCTCATTCTCCCTATTTGCATATTTAGCATCGTACTCAGCGGTGCCTGCTCTCCAGCCAGGGAAGTACAATTCATTTATGGCTTCACTGTCGCAAAACACACTCTTCTCCCGAACAAGGACAGTGTCAATAAAAATTCTGTTGCGTTTGTGGTGCGCAGTCCTAGAGGCTACATATGATGCATAAAATTCCCGCACAAGGGTTTCATTATACTTAGTGGGTGGCTCTGTGAAGCACTCCCATTTCCGTGCTTTTATGTTCTCCACGATGTGGGGGTACTGCTCTTGCAGCCCATTCAAGCTCAATTGCTTTTCGGCCAGGATTTATCGCTTGGTGAGCCCTTCTCTGTACAGTTTCCTGGACCCCTCAACCCCAAATCGGATGTGGAAGTCTTCTCTGTGTTTCCTTCTTGCTTCAGCCTCTAAATTAACTGAGGGCCTGAGCTCCTCCTCATCAGACTGGGAGGGGCTTGGCATATTTGCTTCCGTCCGTGAACGTTTTGCTTGTGATGCCTGACGACTGGAGGAAGCCCTTTTAGATGCAGAGGATGCATGTTTCTTGGGAGCCATATCTGCACAATGGTGAAGTATGAGTGACAACATAATCAACACTGAGAAGAAACAGAAGAATTCAAATAAAAAGATGAAAATGCGACACGTTTTGCGGTCGCATAACCACAATGCGGACCGCAAAATCGTCGCGAATTTGTTTGGGCTTTATGGCTCTCAGTTTGCGGTGGGTTATGCGATCGCATAACCACTATGCGGACCGCATAACCACCGCAGAACTGATTTTCTCACAACATACACAACAAAATGCGATCGCAAACTCCACCGCAAAGTGGGGAATGCGATCGCAAAACAGCCGCAAATGGCTAGGTTCATAACTGGGTGGTCTGTTTCAGTTTGCGGTAACTGTGCAGTCCGCATATCAATTATGCGACCGCAAAAGTCACCGCATTTTATCATCGTCCTCAGGAGACCTAGGGTTAAATTATGCAGCCAAAATGCGGACCGCATTCTGACTTTGCGGACCGCAAATGCCGTCGTCCTCAGGACTCAAGCCATCACTTCAACAATGGCGGTCCTATTTCCTTCTACCCATTACCCCAGATATATTTCCTACCCAGAAGAGACTATGCTATGGGAAAATGGTACAAAAAGCAACACACAATCACACTTTTGCAGAACGAGAATAAAGAAAATCAAAGAGAACACAAACATGAATCTTGAACAGGAAGATTGGGGAATGGGTACATACCAGTGAGGCTGAGTGTACACACTACAGAGATGGGGAGTGGGATTTTGTCGCTTGAACAATTCGATTACTAGCAGTGTGTGTTTGCCCCCGTTGTTTACTTCCCTGTTCTTTCCGTTCTTTTCTAAATTTTTTTTCTTTTGTTTTCTTTTTACTTTTTATTCGTTTTTGTTTTGTTTTGAATGAGTGAGAGATGAGAGAACGCGACCACTTACCTGTCAGATTTGCAATTTGGAGGGCACCGCATAACACACTATGCGACCGCATATGTGTTATGCGATGGGTTCAAGTGAGATGCTGAAGAGCCAGAAATGCGGTACACAATGCGATCGCAGAAGTGAAATGCGGTCCGCATATTGCACCACCCCGTCGCATTCTGACCACCAATTTTAGCCAAACTCACTGTTTGGGTTTGCGACCAAAATGCGGTCCGCATAGTTAAAATGCGACCGCATCTTTGCAGCAAACTTCACACCGCGATTTTTCTTACCTTTCTCATGCATTCCCACCAAGTGTTATGATCTTTTGAATCCCCTGCACTCTAACACACATTTTGAATTGCTCAAGTAAATCTATCTATCAAAAATTTAAAATTTAAACAACAAAAAGTGTGTTACCACACATGGGTTGCCTCCCATGAAGCGCTTGATTTAACGTCGCGGCACGACGAAGTTGGTGTTCCTTTGGATTCACTCAATGGTTGGGCACAAACCATCTTTGAGAGCCAGCTACTCCACCAAATGTTTTTCTCCATCTGTGCCCAAGTAGTGCTTGATGCGTTGGCCATTTACTTTAAATGTCCGGGACCCATCTTCCGATGCTAGTTCCACAGCTCCATAAGGAGAGACATTGACCACTTTGAATATACCGGACCACTTTGATTTGAGCTGGCCCGGAAACAATTTTAGCCTTGAGTTAAAGAGCAAGACTAAGTCACCCGACTTGAACTCTCTTTTCAAGATCTTCTTGTCATGGACGAACTTCATCCGTTCTTTGTACACAGCTGCACTTTCATAAGCATGGAACCTGAATTCCTCCATTTCATTGAGTTGTGTTAACCTCAAATTTGCAGCTTCAACCCAGTCCAAGTTCAACCTTTTCAACGCCTACATAGCCTTGTGTTCCAATTCCATGGGTAGATGACAAGCTTTTCCGAAGACTAACCAATAAGGAGAAGTACCAATAGGAGTCTTGTATGCCGTGCGGTATGCCCACAATGCGTCAGCTAGCTTCCTTGCCTAGTCTGTCCTATTTGCATTAACAGTCTTTGCTAGAATGCTCTTGATCTCCCGGTTAGAAACCTCAACTTGACCACTAGATTGGGGATGATAAGGTGTGGCCACCTTGTGCTTGATGCCATACTTTTCTAGTAGTCCCGTAAAGGCCTTGTTGCAAAAATGAGACCCACCATCACTAAGAATGGCCCTAGGAGTGCCAAACCGAGTGAATATGTTTTTCTTCAAGAATGCGGTCACACTTCTTGCCTCGTTGTTAGGCAAAGCAATTGCTTCAACCCATTTGGACACATAGTCCACAGCTACCAAGATATATTTCATCCTACAAGAGCTCACAAATGGACCCATAAAGTCGATTCCCCAGACGTCGAAGATTTCTATCTCCATCACAAAGTGAATAGGCATTTCATGCCTCTTGGATTGATCCTTGCCTTTGACATTGGTCACAAGCCTTGACCATTTGATTGGCATCATGATAGATTGTCGGCCAATAGTAACCACATTCAAGCACCTTGGCCGCCATTCGATTTCCCCCATGATGACCCCCAACTGGCGAGTCATGGCTGGCTTTTAGAATTGGCATAATTTCTTCTTCTGGAACACATCTTCGGATGATGTTGTCGGCACAAATACGGAACAAGTATGGCTCTTCCCAATAATATTGCCGACAATCTCTCAAGAACTTCTTCTTTTGATAGGATTCCAAATCCTCCGGAATAAGGTCACTCACCAAATAGTTAGCAATATCGGCATACCAAGGAGCAAAAGTGCTAGATAGTGCCAAGATGTGTTCATCCGGGAATGCATCGTTGATCTCAAGATCTCCCCTTGGTTTCCCTGCTTCTTCAAGCCTTGATAAATGATCCGCCACTTGGTTTTGAGTTCCCTTGCGATCCTTGACCTCGAAGTCAAACTTTTGCAACAATAAGACCCATCGAATCAACCGTGGATTTGCATCCTTCTTTACCATGAGATAGCGAAGAGCAGCATGATCCGTGTACACTATCTAGCACTTTTGCATCCTCCGGAATAAGTTCACTCACCAAATAGTTAGCAATATCGGCATACCAAGGAGCAAAAGTGCTAGATAGTGCCAAGATGTGTTCATCCGGGAATGCATCATTGATCTCAAGATCTCCATTTGGTCTCCCTGCTTCTTCAAGCATTGATAAATGATCCGCCACTTGATTTTGAGTTCCCTTGCGATCCTTGACCTCGAAGTCAAACTCTTGTAACAATAAGACCCATCGAATCAACAATAAGCCCGGAACTTCTCAAAGGCATAAACAATGGCAAGAAGCTCTTGCTCAGTTACCGTGCAATTCATTTGCGCCCCATTGAGTGTCTTGCTTGCATAATAGACCGGGTGGAGTACCTTGTTGTGACGTTGGCCAAGCATAGCTCCAATAGCTACACCACTGGCGTCACACATGAGCTCGAAAGGAAGAGACCAATCGGGTGTGACAATAATAGGTGCCGTGGTGAGCCTTTGCTTCAATTCCTCAAAAGCTTTGAGGCATTTCTCATCAAACACAAATTTGGCGTCTTCTCAAGGAGTTTGCATATAGGATTTGCAATTTTGGAAAAATCCTTGATGAACCGCCTATAAAATCCGGCATGCCCTAACAAACTTCGAACACCTTTGAAGGAAGTAGGTGGTGGAAGCTTGGAAATAATCTCGATTTTAGCCCGGTCAACCTCAATGCCATGTTTTGAAATTTTATGCCCCAATACGATGCCTTCATCCACCATGAAATGGCATTTCTCCCAATTTAGCACAAGGTTGGTTTCCTCACATCACTTCAGCACTTGTCTAAGATTGTTAAGACAATGCTCAAAAGAGTCACCTACTACCGAGAAGTCATCCATGAAGACCTCTAGAAAATCCTCCACCATGTCGGAGAAAATGGACATCATACATCTTTGAAACATAGCTGGAGCATTGCACAAACCAAATGGCATCCGACTAAAGGCAAAAGTTCCATAGGGACAAGTGAATGTCATCTTCTCTTGATCCTCCAATGCGATGTTGATTTGGTTGTAGCCGGAATATCCGTCAAGGAAACAATAGAATGACCTTCCCGCTAGCCGATCAAGCATTTGATCAATAAAAGGCATAGGGAAATGGTCTTTGCATGTGGCACTGTTGAGCTTCCGATAATCCATACATACCCTCCAACCGGTCACCGCTCTTGTTGGGATGAGCTCATTTTTTTCATTTTCAATTACGGTCATGCCTCCCTTTTTCGGCACACATTGCACCGGGCTCACCAAAGAACTATCAGCAATAGGGTAGACAACCCCGGCATCCAACCACTTGATGATTTCTTTCTTTATCACCTCTTGCATTGACGGGTTCAACCGTCGTTGATGTTCCACACTTGGTTTCGTGTCACCCTCNACCCATTTCGATGATTTTTTTCTTTACCATCTCTTGCATTGACAGATTCAACCGTCGTTAATGTTCCACACTTGGCTTCGTGTCACTCTCCAATTGTATCTTGTGTTCACAAATTCCCGCGGGAATCGCTCGGATGTCCGCAATTGTCCATCCAATGGCTTGCCTATGCTCCTTCAAGACTTCCAACAATTGTTCCACCTGCACATCATTTAACAAAGACGAAACGATTACAAGTAAAGTATCATTAGAGCCAAGAAATTTATACCTTAGGTGCGGGGGAAGTGGCTTGAGCTCTAGTTGTGGTGGCTCAATGATTGATGGCTTTGCGGGAGGTGTGGCCCTATTCTCCAAGTCAAGCGAAAGCTTTGCCGGAGTATAAGTGTAGGATCCATGACCCTCCAATGCATTTACCGACTCCATATACCCATCCATGTCTTCACCATCAAAGTTTACCAAAATAGCCGCTAATGCCTCACCAAGGCATTGTTCTTCCATTTTCATTTCGACGGCACCTTCTACCTCATCAACAACATCTATCACTGAAATGCTCTCATACTCATGGGGTAGTTTCATACCCTTGCTCGCTTGAAATGTGACTTCTTCATCATTTACCCGGAATTTAATTTCGTTCCGCTCCGAATCCATGAGTGCCCTTCCCGTGGCTAGGAATGATCTCCCCAAAATGATAGGGATTTCTTTATCAACCGCACAATCAAGAATTACAAAATCGGTGGGCAAATGAAACTTCCCCACTTTTACAAGTACATCGTCAACAATTCCCACCGGGCGTTTGATTGACCGATCGGCCATTTGCAATCTCATACTAGTGGGCCTTGGCATACCTAACCCGGCTTGCTTATAGATGGCAAGAGGCATTAAGTTGATGCTATCCCCATTATCACATAGGGCTCTTGCAAAGTCACGGGCCCCGATGGTACAAGGAATGGTAAAAGCTCCCGGGTCTTCTTTCTTTTGGACTTTGGATGTGGCAATAATAGAGCTAACCCGGTGAGTCATGTTTACTACCTCATTCTTTGTGGTTTTCTTTTTGGTGATCAAATCCTTTAAATATTTTGCAAACCCCGGCATCTCTTGAAAAGCTTCCACAAATGGGATATTCACTGTTAATTGCTTGAGAATGTCGTAAAATGTTTCAAGTTTGCTATCATCAATCTTCCTCGCGAGCCTCTAAGGAAATGGGGGAGGAGGTCTAGGAATAGGTGGAAGAGCGTTTGGTGTCTCTTTTACCTTTTCCTTCACCTCTTCCCGGTTCTCTTTTTGCACTTTCAACTCCTCCGGAATCTTTTCAACCTCGACAACACTTGGCTCTTCAACCTCAACCCTTTGTTCGGACTCTTCTGCTTCAACCGTTTGTTCACCCTCTCTGTGTAGCACTTTCCCGCTCCTAGTACTGATCGCCATGATGTGAGAAGTTGGGCCACTCCCACTACCTCTGGGATTTGCAACCGTGTGACTAGGGAGTGTTCCCTTTTGTTTTGGATTTTGCTCTTTGGAGAGGTCTCTCATTTGCATCTCCAATTTTTGGATGGAGGCGGCATGAGAGCCAACAACCTCGGTCATGTTCCTAATTGAAGTATCAAATTTTTCTTGATTTTGCAACACTCGCTCAAGCATAGCTTCCAACTTAGATTCACTAGAAGACCCTTGGCTTGAATATTGACCCTTTGGAGGAATATAGGGGTTTGAACTCCGGTTAGAAAAGTTGTTGATGTTGTTCCAATTCCCTTGGTTTGAGCCACCTTGGTCATGTCGCCATTGTTGGTTGCCTTGCCCTTGCGGGTTAGGCCTCCATTGACTTTTTTGCTGCCCCTGACCTTGGTAATGTTGTCTTTGATAACCTCCTTGAGGGTTGTTGATATAGTTTGCTTCTTCAAATTCTTCATTGGAGATGGGTTGCACATCCTCCACTACATTCACCTTTTTTGTTTGACTTTCCGTAAGCATTTTCGTCAACGCATTTACATTTGTGGCCAGCCCTGCAATTATTTGGTCCCTCTCTTGATTCTCCTTGATCAAGTTGGTCAAGGAAGGAGAACCGTATGCGACTCCACCTGAGGTATCCTCAGAATGCCAAGCTTGATTATGTTTTTCCATCTTGTCAAGTATTTGTGTGACTCTTGCGAATGATTTTCCATAAAAGACCCGTCAGCCGCATTCTTTGCTATAGCTTGGTTCATAGGATCCAAGCCCATGTAAAATTTCTCTAGCAAGATGGAGTCTGGAAAACCATGATTGGGAGACCTCACCAAATATAATTTGAATCGATCCCATGCCTCATGTAGGTGTTCCCCTAGTTGTTGTTTGAAGAAGAAAATCTTATCTCGAAGCTCGGACTTCTTGCTCTGTGGGAACCATTTTGCTAGAAATGCCCGGACAAGTTCAGGCCAAGACCGGATGGAATTTGGTGGCAAGTTTTGAAGCACCTCCTTGCGTCTCCAACTAGAGAGTACTTGAACACCCTCAATCTTAGGGCATCATGTGAGACATTGTTCTGCTTATGCATAGCACATACTCCCAAGAAGTTCCTAAGGTGTTGTGTTGGATCATCATCGGTGGAATTCCTGAAAAACCCCTCCGCTGTGAGCATTAGGATTAGACCATGTTCCACTTTAAAAGTTGAGGCACCAACAACCGGAGGTACAATGGCATTTGTATCCTCAATGTACTCATCTAGTCCGCAGAAAGATTTTCATCCACTTCTTCCTTGTAGTCTGACATGTTTTCCTATCAACACCAAGCAAAGCAAGCGAAGAGTGATGGAATAGAATAAGACGTAAAGTAAAGCACACATTAATTAGTAATTTCAAAACCGTATTCCCCGGCAACGGCACCAAAATTTGATACGCTCAAATTACACTTTTAATAAATAGTGTAAGGCGGTCGGTGTCAAATAAAATAAACCAACAAGGTTGGGGTCGAATCCCACAGGGAATAGGTGTGAAAAGCTACTTGATTAGTGTATCACTTGACTTAAATCTTAATTCTATCTAGTTAATTGTAGAAAGAGTATGGTTTAATTATGATTTGGAGAAATGACTAATGTTGAGATTTAGAATGTAATCAATTGGATTAAAGAAACCAAGGTTATGTCCCCTTCAATGAAATGTAATTCTACCAGTGTAAATGTGATATATTTCTAATGGAAGGTCATTTATGATGTGCAAATGATTTCTAATTGACCCCCCATTATTTTCCAATAGTTGGGTAGTATTTCCTCTTTATGATTTTTCCAAATATAAAAGAGTTGCAATTAAAAACAATCAATATATGCCAAATAAAACCCACTTATTCCTAATCGATTCTATTAAACAAGGGTTAACGCCTTGAGTCTTTGATATTCACTCCTACCAAATTCTAACCCACTTTCCCAAGAAAAGCAAGAATTTGATGGCACTTGTTAATGTTTGCAACCACCAACAATAAATGAGGAATGAATATATTATATATATATATATATATATATATATATATATTCAATGGTAAATACCCATTAATATTACACCCATTTAGGGTCCACAACCTTAGTATTTAAAGTTAGCTACTCATGCTAAAATACAAAATGAAGAGAATATTTAATGTCATAAAGCTTACAAAGTGAAAGATTCTTCAACCAAAAGCTTCCAAAAGTGATGAATATTAAAGTCTTGTATTCTAACTCCTAAATTACGACAAGATGAGCCCACAAAAACCTAATAATTGGATTTATAGTGGACCAAAAATCGGGACAAAAACAGGACAAAAATGCCCCTTCAGGTTGAATATGCGACTGCATTTCCATCGCATAGCAGACATGCGGTCCGCATTCTTGACATTGCCATCGCAAATTGAAACCTAGTTTCCAGGCCTTCACCGCATTTATGGTTTGCGGTCCGCATTGTAGGAATGCGACCACATTTTGCGTCGCATTTCCTTCTTTCAGTAGACCTCATGTTTGGTTTGCGTTCAATTCTGCGGCTCGCAAACAGGTTATGCGATCGCAGATGGGACCGCATTTCTGACGTTGAATTTTGCCCAGCAATCTGTTTTGGTCTGTGATTTTGGTGTAAGATCTGCGGTTCGCATGTGGGTTTTGTGATAGCATTTCCACAATTGCGATGCCTTTTTGCTCTTTTCTTGTCTTTTTGTGGCTTTTTGCTTTCATTTCCATTCTCTTTGGTCCTTAGACAAACACTAAAACTGCATAAGTAAAGGAGATAATTGCATTAAAAACAAGCTAAAATCTAAGCAATTTGTATTGAAATGTGCTGAAATTCTCCGGCACATCACCAAGGGACTTATATGTCTACCTTACGATTGGAAAGTTATGGTTCCCTTTAAGGAAAAACCCACTAAGAGGCCAACTTAAGGTGCAAAGGGACTCATATGTCCACCTTAAGGTTGGAAAGTTATAGTTCCCTTTAATGATAAACCCACAAAAAGGCCAGCATAAGGTGCAAATGGACTTATATGTCCACCTTAAGATTGGAAAATTATAAAGCTTCAACTCGAAGACTTCGTGGACTTGACGACGTTGACTTGAACACTTGGAAAACTTTGAAGATTTGGCGGACTTTGCAGACTTCAACTTGAAGACCAACAAACATGAAGATTACTTAAAGATTCGGCGGACTTTGATGTTTCAACCTGAAGGCTTTGAGGGCTCAAATACTTCAACTTGAAGACCGGCGAGTTTGAGGACCTCAACTTGCAGACTTCAACTTGAATACTTGGAGGCTTAAATATTTCGACTTGAAGACCGGTAGACTTAAAGATTTGGCGAACATGAAGACATAGTGAACCCCGGATTTCATTGCAAATACTTGGCATTCTCCTAAAAATTGTCCCATTGAAGATACCAATTTACCATGGAGGGTTGCCCCGTTTAAATCAAATGGGATCCAAAGTTTAACAGAAGAATGGTATCTCAGCTCGATTTTCAAGTGCTGATTGAATGAATTACACTCCATCGTTCTTCATTCGGACAACGAATGGGGGGGGGGGTTATGTATCTTTTGAACTTATGCGACTGAACTCAGAATGAAACTCTAAGCTTCCTACGTACCTCGGTGAAGAGGATCAAGTCATATCGTAGTTCAGAATGAGTGATGTTTTTTATGTCCTAACTTTTGTGTAGGCCGCTTTTTTTGAGGTTTTCAACCTAGCAGACTCTTTTTTTTCGAGCCGTACACAGTTTAGCCTCATAGGGGCTAGGACTGTAGGAACATGCAGTTTAGGCTCGTGCGTCAAGGAGCATTATGACTTGTAGTTTAGGCTCGTATGTTGAGGAGCGTTGCAAATTCAAGGATAATACTTCTTCAAAAACTTGCCATTGATAGGGCCGATTCTCATGCCATGTGCATCAACCAGCTTGTAAGCCCCACTTGAGTAAGCTTCTTGCAAGACATATGGCCCATCCCATTTTGAAGCGAACTTCCCTACATGTTTATGGGAAGTAATGATGGGTCTTCGTATGACAATGACTTGATCTCCTACTTGAAAGGATCTCAGGCGAACTCTTTTATTGAAGGTGCGAGACAGTCGAGCTTGATAACGTTCAAGGCTTTGTTGAGCTTCCAACCTCTTTTCATCAAGAGCCCCCAACTCTGCTAATCAAAGCCGAGCATTTTCTTCATCAACGATCCCCTCTTGAATAGCCAGTCGTAATGAAGGTATTTGACGCTCGAGTGGCAAGATGACTTCGACTCCATAAATGAGTGAATAAGGAGTCGCTTGTGTTGGCGTGCGGTGAGTCGTCCTATATGCCCATAGAGCTTCTTCCATACGGCCATTCCAATCTCGTTTGGATTTGGAGACAACTTTCTTTAACAAGTTGCATAGAGTCTTGTTGAATGCCTCACCTAGACATTGGCAGCAACATTGCACATAGTTGCTTGAAGCCAAAGAGATCAAAAATCTTGTTCATCAACCTATTGTCGAATGGCTTTCCATTATCCATTATTATGTGATGAGGAATGCCAAAGCGATAGATTATGTTTACTCGGATGAAACTTGAAACATTTTCCTTCTTTACCTCCTTAAGAGCAACAGCTTCAGCCTATTTCGAGAAGTAGTCAGTTGCAACCAAGATGTATAGGTGCCCACCAGAGGACTTTGGCAGTGGTCCAACAACATCCAATCCCTAAGCGTCAAACGGCCAGGATGCAACAGTCAGGTGCAACACTTCAGGAGGTTGATGAATAAAATTCTCATGGAATTGACAAGCCTTGCATCTTCTAGCGTAGTCCAAGCAATCTTTTACCATTGTTGGCCAATAATACCCCATCCTGTTTATATGGAAGTGGAGCCTTGGTCCAGACTGGTGTGACCTACATACCCTAGAATGTGCCTCTTGCAAAGCTTGGAGTGCTTCTTATTCCCCTAAGTATCGCAAGAGTACTCCCTCGAATAACCTTCTATATAGAGTATCTTTGTAGTAAAGGAAGCGAGGTGCACGATGATGAATTTCAGTCCTTCTCCTCGGATTTTCTAGAAGTATCCCATAGCATAAGTAGTCGATAATGGGTTGTCGCCATTCTTCTTTCTCAACTTCACAAACAATGACAAGATGTTTGAGTTTATTTTCTTCACCTTCAACCTCATTTGGCGGCGGTACTACCCATTTTTGGCAGATAGTAACTTGCGTTTGATCAGGTAGGGTTAACGATGAAGCTAAGGCAGCTAAAGCATCAGCCTTCTTATTTTTTTTCCTTGGAACATGCTGAATAGTCACATCAGCGAGCCACCCCATTAATTTTTTTAGCGTAATCATGATATGGGCGTAGTTCAGGCTTTTTGACCTCGTAACTACCTAAAAGCTAATTGACCACTAATTGAGAGTCACCAAAGACTTTCAATTGCAACCGCTGAGAAGTGACAAATACTACACCACAACCAGCTCCTCCGAGATGTGCAGCACCATCAAAGTACATCTTCCATGGAGGTTGAACTGCAGTGACCATTGCGCCTCATCAGGTAGTTCGTAAGTTAGCTCCTAATCATCATGTATAGGGTGATATACCAAGAAGTCTGCTAACACTTGTCCTTTTATAGCCTTTTGAAGGATGTACACAATCTCAAATTGTTGAAACTGGAGGTACCACCTTGCTAATCGATCA